GCCATGCCAATGCCCACGACCATATCCCACTCCTCTGCCCTTTGGTGGGAATGGACCCACTATATCACGGCTGGTTCTGCTGGAACGTGATTCGTTGACGCCCTACGACTTTGGTTTGGTTCCGCATCTCGCATTTTTGCCTAGGTGCAAATGCAAATTTAAGGAAAATCTGATTTCGTCTATGGATTCCTTGCTACTCCTGCATAATTTATACGCACAATGCAAGCAGCCAACAGTTGGTGAGGGATTGCACTAGAAGCGGAAATGGTGTAATGGAGGTTGTAATACAGATATTCCATATATATTATATATATTTATACCTTTCTGGATATGAGCTGCAGAAATTTCTAAGAGTTTGTGTTAACTTTCTGGGCAGAGGAAAACCGACGGAAGTTCAAAAAAATATTAATAAGTAGTGTTAGAAATAATATTTTATAAGAAAATATAATGTAAATATTGAAAAGGTAATTTGGTGTACAATTTAATATAATATACAGAGAAAACAAAATTATCTTTACTTATATATATGAAATAATTATATTTTTGTAAATCAATAAAACCATTACATTAAGCTCAGTAACTCAACATCCTCCTTTTGTCTATATTTGATCAAATTGCTTTGTAATCTGGATACTTTTTGTACTATCTGAGTTTGTGGCTGCAGCACAAATAAACAGAAAAAACTGCGCCATGGAGACTCCGAAATGACGCCACTAAAGTCCGTGCTGCATAGCCGCGAGCTGCATTAACACAATCTTTGTAAATAAGCTTTTATCCGTGCCACGCAGCAGCATCTCTCTCTCTACCCATTTCTGCCTTTCTGTACCACCCAGTTTTTCCATCTTTCCTGGCTTTCTCTGCTACTCGCAGACGTATTGTCCAAACCGAGTCGAAAAGGGGCTTGCTTTCTCTTTATCTCTGTGCGCTGGGGCTTTTGTTTGGGCAACAACAACAGGGGCAGTCGCCGTAGAAGCAGCAGCAGAATATGAAGAAGAAGCAGCCACAGCAGCGGCTAAAGGTTCAGACGTGCAACGGGGCGTATGCGTAATGTTTCCACTTTTTGTCCATACATATGCCTGCCAGTGTGTATTTGTGTTGAAGTCTTTTGTGTGCCGACGGTTGTAATTATTGCTACTGCTACCGCTACCAACGTTGCTCTTGCTTTTGCTCCGGCCATATCGTACCCACACACATATAGAGAAACCCACATATTTCTGGCCTTTCTTTTCGGACGGAGCTTGTTCTGGGGTTTTCCAGTCTTCGGTGCTCGGCAACTCCTTGTATCGTGCTTGTTTCAGTTTTTTGAGCCTTTTGTCTACGCTAATTAGCACTGCTTGTAGCCTTTTGACTGAGGAATTGCCTGCTAGTCCTGTTAGGGTAGAGAACTAGTGTACGAATGTTGTCTGATTTCCAATACTAATCAATGTAGCCAATTGTAATCAGATCTCTTATCTAATCGTTGGAGTATTGAATGATAACCGATTTTACCACATGCAGCTAGAGTAATATCATATAACCCAAACAATATTTATATCAATTATGCAATAAACGATTGAAATTGATTTGGAATAATTAATAATTTACAAATTTAACAAGCCTTAAATTCCCTATTCTCTCCGCATAGGCTCTAACCTGCATACCCACATGCACCCTATTAATTCGGTAAGCCGTCGGCGAAACCTTTATCCATTTAGATGAAAACACATTCATCAGACCGCTTGTGTGCGACTTTATCCCCAAACTGCCAACTCAACATAATTTCAATTCCACAAATTCTAAATCAATTAATGTTAAGCTCTAACCGAAAGTTTCCAATTTTTTTGAGGGCGAGGATTTGTGTGGCGGGGGCGTGGCCTGAGGGGTATGCACTGCCCTAAATTGGAAACAACAAATGTCAGCAGTTTTATGTACTGCAGACCACCAGCAGCAGCAGCAGCAACAACAGAAACAACAGGAGCAGACAAATACAATGTATAAATGATGATGTGGCTGATGATGAATGCACAAGGATGTGCCTGTGCCTGTGTGAGTGCGAATAAAAGGGACATCCCAACGTGCGTGAGTGTGTGTGTGCGAGTGTGTTTGTCTATTTGTGTGCATGTGTGACAAAGTGAATACGAAATTTGCATACGTTGGCTTTACGACTGAATATAGGGAAAGAGTTTGCCTTGGCTACCAATTTACGAGCAGATCACCCAAATTGAAGGACTATCCGTCGCCCTCTCTTCACCCTAGAACATTTCTGTGTGTGTGTGTGTTTGTTGGTCTCTGGTCTCGTCGCTTGTCATTTCGAATTTCCAAACATTTCTCGCAAAAAATAAACGATTTCAGCTTGAACCACTTGATTGCGGTACTAAATTAAATTATGGCGTTACTGAATACAGAATACATTTTAAATTTATGCAAATTTCGGTGCAAGTTTATGTCAATGCAAATGTGTGTATACTGAATGTTAGGAATCTCTAGAAGTGAATTACGTTTATTTTTGAGAGGGCATGAGCAGTATTAGAAAGAAAATAAAATACTTAGATTGTATTTGGTTTTTGTTAAGCACTTTTGCTGTTAATTCTGAAAACATTTGTATTTTGTCGATGCTTTTATTGATTTACAAAAGGATTGAAGTTAAGCTACGAATATTTTCTACTTTTAAGTTAGTTTACTTTGTCATTTAAATTAAATAACTCTGAGAATATATATTTTAAGTTACCAATTACATTAGCTGACCATCGTATTGAAGAGGCTTGGGTATAATTTGCGTTTCATCTCATCTCGCTCTCACTTAACTTTCATAAAAAACTCACCTTTTAAACCAGCCCCAGCCAGCTTTTGGTTCAATGCGTTTTCAGCCATTTCTCGTTAGCCTTCTCGTTCACTCGATTTCCACCTGAGTGTCTTGAAAAGCAAAGCGTAGCTCATTATGCAGTCTATTTGCAATATGCTTAAGTAACCAGACTCCCTCAGTTGCCCGGCCAGCAAACCAACCCATTACCCGCCCACTCCATGGAGTGCATTGTAGTGCCACTTGGTGGGCTCCCTTAGCCTCCTGGGGCGGCCCGTCGCTGATGTTTTGCGAGTGCTGCGGTGAAAATTAAAATTACTTTGGTTACGTCAAATAATGTTGCCTGCGGTGCTGTCCAGGACTCAAAACATAAAGCGATGGCAAAGAAGAACGGTGGCGGGTTGGCTGAAAGGAGCTGCGAAAAAGGATGCCAAAGCCAGCATCTTCACCGGCAAAAGGCAACAATTTATAGTGGCAACCGAAGAAGGTATACTGATAAATTTGACATGGCCAAAAGGCAGCTGCGAAGAATGCAGTTAAAGGAGAGGAGTAGTGCATTCCAGTCAAAACCGCTTCCCTTCGTTAATTTTCATTATGCCCATGACGAAACAAGAGAAGCATTCTAGTGAGTCTAAGGGTCGGTTGTAAAATTAAAGGAAATTAAAGATTACCTATGCCTTTTCTAATGAATTAATACTCACTAGAAAATTATAAATTATAGCCTTATCACAATAAAACACTGAACTTTAATGTTAGCTTTCTTCAATTCTACTTAACCATCTCGAGTTGCAATTATGTTGGCCTTTACCTACTGGCAAATCATTGGAAAAATTTTTATAACGAGCAGAGGTCGTAAGAGAAAACTGCGATAGAGATAGAGAGAGACAAAAAACTACTTGCATGCAATATTTTATGGTAATTTTATGCAATAAACGTTGAAATGTTTGTCATCAATTTTCTTAACTCATATTTCATGTGCAACCCATCCAAGACACCACCCGCTCGACCCACTTAGTCAACAGAGGTCTGCACTTTCTTCTCGGCGGTTGGATGGAATTGAACGCCATCTGAAAGGGAGCGGGTAAGCCGGCTGCCTGAAAGCTATAATTTCAAACACTTTTTATTTTAGACGTTGTCTACGCTAAGCGCCCCCTTTCTTCATTCCAATAAGCCATTTTCCACCAACTTCGCATCTCAGCATCACGTTCTCACCTTTCTCACTCCAAATGATTTTAAGGCAGACGCGAAGTGCATCTTACTGGAAAACAGGGTATCAAAAAGGATGTTTAGGATGTTATAGGAAAAAAACTATAATAGTTCTAAAAGGAAACTTCCTTTATTATAGGTCTTAGTTTTATACACAAGTTAACTTAAGTAAACAATAAAAGTTTATTTGTTTTAACAGAATGATATTTTCAAGAAACCGAATTATCCCAATAATATCTTCTTATATTGCATTTCTTTAAATATTTTTGGCAACCATTTTAAAGAACACCCATTAAGCTGAAGAGCTTGGGGTACATATCTTGTATTGGGGCTTGTTCGGGCAGAGTTCGAGCTCTTCCTTCCCAGTTGCCGAACTATTTTTATTCGCTCCTTTGGTTTTACCCTCGGCTAATGTGATTTCCAGCGAAAAAAAAACGATAAATCTATGGGTAGTCCGATGATGATGATGATTCCGGGTGCTGCGGGGAAATGTTTGAGAAGGGGAGCGGTTTCGCTTTCAGCATTCCTTCGCAGATATTTCGCTAGCTCCGCTAACGAGGCAGTTAAATCGAATCTACGCCAATTTCTGAATTGCTCCGAAGTGAAGCTAGAAATTGCAACCCATTAAATGCACATTTTAGTCTGTAAGCCCGTTCTCAGCAGTTTATTTAGTTTTTTTTCCTATTATTGCCCTGTTGTTTGAACATTTCATACTTTTCAAGGGAAAACGTTTCTAATTGTTTATCCAAACAAAATTCGAAACAGTAAAAATGCAAAAAAGTGCAAAGTAAAAGCAATTCGATTAAACTGAAGTGTAGAACTTACTTTCGCTTTCTATTGAAAAATTACAATAATTTTAAAATGAAATCTTTGTGCTATATTTTTAAATCGAACTGCATTACACGATTAATTTTAATGTATTTTTGATATGAGTGCTCGTTATCAACTACATGATAAGCTGAATTGTCGGAATTATAAAGTCTAGATTCGCAATCGATCGGCGGACATTCGCGCAATGAAGTCCGCAGTAATCGGAATTCCCGAGGTCGCCGTCAGTTTTCTGGTGATTCTTCTGTTTCCACTCCCCGGTTCCAGTCAATTCCTGGACCCAGCCTGTGGAATTCGAGCTCAACCGAAGATAGCGACTCGCATCATCCATGGCCATATAGCGAACAATACGTCGAGCCCCTGGATGGTTTTTCTGCACTCAACTACAAATATATTTGTGTGCGGCGGAACTCTTATCACACACAGTTCGTATTTACAGGGCAATGACTGGAATTCATCAGAAAAAACTCATACATATTTAAATTCCTGGTTCATTAGGTTTTCTTAGAAGTTAAAAATAATTTAATATTCTGAAATCCTAATTTCAGAATTGGTTCTAACAGCGGCACATTGCTTTATTGCCAATCAACAGTTGTAAGTACTAAAAAATAAAAAATAAATAATAATAAAATAAATAGTCTAATTTATTAATTTATTTTTCCTAGAGTAGCTCGTCTGGGGGAGTATGAAAGAACACGTAGTGAGGAATGCGTTGGATACTATTGCAATTACCGGGCTGAACATCATGTGGATGCTGGCTTTAGGCATCGTCTGTACGATCCACATACAAATGCCAATGATATTGCTATCCTTCGACTGATCAAGAGTGTGGTATATAGAGGTGGGTTTTGTAAAAACAAAAAAAGATTTAACTTATGTTATACAATACTATCTTCCTAGACAATATCAGGCCCATTTGCATAGTTTGGGATACTAGGTGGAGGCAGTACATCGACAACATCGATTTGCTAACCGGTACTGGCTGGGGCAAGACCGAGGTGGAGAGTGACAGTGATGCCCTAAGGACCCTGGACATTCGTCGTCAGCCACCCGAAGTGTGCTCACAATTTATCGGTCTAACCATCACTAGAAATCAATTCTGTGCTGGAAACTGGGATAGCAATCTGTGCAACGGCGACTCCGGTGGACCTGTAGGAGCAATGGTTACATATAAGAACACTCAACGCTTTATTCAGATCGGCATAGCTAGCTATACGAACAGAAATTGTCAGAAAGCCAGTGTTTTCACGGATGTCCTAAGCCACATCGACTTCATTCTGCGGGTGTGGAGGCAGTACGGCAACGGTCAAAGATTGCAGATCCGTAGGACAATAACAACGACGACGACCCAAGCACCGTTTTGGCGGCAGACCACTGCGATTTCAAGAGAGTCTTCCGAGGATTATGATTCTCAAAATGGTTACGAATCGCATAGGGATTGGAGTGGGAATATTGAGTGGACTCCTGGGGGATACTTTCATTTTGCGATCTGGTAAACAGAGCTTCTTGCGAGTTATTTTTTTAATAAAACTGTATACATATTCTCTTGTAAAATCCATGTCAATAACTTTGTCCATTACAAAGGAAAAAAAACTTGGAAATTTCTGTGCAAAATTCCTCATAAATCATCACTTAGAAATTTTACACAACAACAATTTCCTGGAATCAGATGCTTGATAAGCTCGCCGTCCACACTATAAAACGAAGATACCTCCGAGAGTGAATAACATTCCCATCGTAAAGACCGCAGAAATGAAGCTCAGAGCTTTAGCCAGTTTTCTTCTGTTGTTTATTTTTCCATTTCCCGGATCTAGTCAATTTCTTGACTCAGCTTGTGGAATTCGATCTAAAACAAAAACTGTCTATGGCTCGAACCCTTGGATGGTCTATCTTGTACCAACAAACGGTTCTTTTGTTTGCGGCGGAACTTTGAATCACAAAAAGTACTTAGCATTCTTCAACATACAAAATTTTCCCTAGCTAAAGTGTTCTTAACTTATTTATTCTACGTGCAATTCATTTTTCAGAATTAGTTCTTACTGCAGCACAATGCATCATTTCCAATCTGAAGTTGTAAGTAAAAAAAATTATATATAAAATGAAATACTTCAAATGTGTGTTTTAATCTTTCAGAGTAGCGCGCCTGGGGGAATATCAAGGGACACCTGATGAAAAATGCAGCTCCTGCTACTTTCGAGCGGAGCATCGTGTGGATGCAGCATTTAGGACCCGATTTTTTAATCCAAACTCACTTGTTAATGATATTGCTATTCTTCGACTGGCCAAGAGTGTGGTGTACACAGGTTTGTCTTGAAGATAATCTGCAAACAATATATAATTTTTAATTTTTTATATTATTTCTCTAGATAATATTAAACCTATTTGCATCGTGTGGGATACTAAATGGAGGCAGTACATAAACAGCATTGAAGTGTTATCCGCAACTGGATGGGGCAGCTCCATGTTTGCCGAAGCTAGTGATGAACTTAGGACACTCGGACATTCGTCGTCAGGAACCAGAAGTGTGCTCTCAGTTCATCGGCCCTAACATCACTGCAAAGCAATTTTGTGTTGGCAACTGGGATACCGGTCTGTGCAACGGCGATTCCGGTGGACCCCTAGGAGCAATTGTCACACATAATAATACTCAACGCTTCATCCAGATCGGCATTTCCAGCTATACAAATTCTGCATGCGAAAAGGCGAGTGTTTCCACTGACGTTCTGAGCCACATCGACTTCATCCTCCAGGTGTGGAGGCAGTACGGTGACGGTCAAAGTTTGCCGAATCTAGGTAAAACTCCAACACCGGATCAGCAGGGAGTTAAGGAAGGTATAAAGTGGACTCAAGGGCCATACTTCCAATATTCAATATGGTAATATCTTATTGTGTTCTACATATAAAATTAAAATTTAATAAAAAAAAAATCGATTTCATTAAAAAAAATTAACTTCTTGTAAGAAACAAACTTGGAAATATTGTTTTAAAATTTCTGATTAATTCTAATAGTGACTAAGAAATTTCGCACAACAACATTTCATGGAACCAAAAGCTTGATAAGCCTGATCGTCTACACTATAAAGCTAAGATACTCGACCGATCCACTGACATTCACATAAGAAGGCCGCAGAAATGGTGAACATAACGTTCTCCTAGTCTGTTGCTGTTATTTATTTTCCCATTCCCCGGATCTAGTCAGTTTCTTGACCCAGCCTGTGGAATACGATCTGAAACGAAGGCGGTGAAACGTATCATTAATGGCAAGATCGCGGCATACAACTCTAGTCCTTGGATGGTTTTCTTAAAGTCCACCGAGAACAAATTCATTTGTGGCGGAACTTTAATCACAAATAGTTAGTATTTACCCTAACTTTCCTCAAAACTTCATCTAAGACTTCTTAAATATTTTACTTTTCCTATAGAATTGGTACTTACTGCAGCGCATTGCTTTCTACCAAACGTAACATTGTGAGTGATTTGCAATAAATCACATAAATTTATGTTTTAATAAACCTTAATTCCTGTAGATTCGTTCGCCTGGGTGAGTATAAAAGAAGCCAAAAAGACGTATGCAATGGAAATTACTGCCACATTCGAGCTACTCATAAAGTTGATGGAGGTTTCAGACATCGCCTCTATACGAGTACTGGAAAAAACTTTCTGAATGATATAGCCATACTGCGTCTAGCTACACCTGTAATCTACAGAGGTGAGATCAAACATGTTGGTAAGGAAACCTCTGTTTAATACGTTTTTTAAGTCTTCATTGAACAGATAATATCAGACCAATCTGCATTCTGTTGGATACAAGATGGAGAAAGTACATCAACAACATCCCAAGGCTAGTCGGAACTGGATGGGGCAAAACTGAGTCGGGACTTGACAGCGATGATCTCATGACCCTGGACATTCGGCGCCAATCACCGAATGTCTGCCGAACCTATATCGGTAATAACCTTATGAGCAACCAATTCTGCGCTGGAAACCGGAATAGTAATCTGTGCAATGGCGATTCTGGCGGACCTGTAGGAGCCATGATTCCGTATAAGAAAACCAAACGATTTGTCCAGATCGGTATTGCTAGCTATACGAATCAAATGTGCAAGTATGCAAGCGTTTTTACAGACGTTATGAGCCAGATCGGCTTTATCCTAAAAGTTTGGCGGCAGTACGGAAAGGGTCAAACGATTCCAACAGGACCACCAAAAAGATGGCCAACTAGACCCCCAACTAGACGGCCTACCAAGCCGCCAACTAGACCACCACTTAGACTCCCAACTAGACGGCCAACTAAGCCGCCAACTAGACCAACAACTAAACCGACAATTATACCGCCAACCATACCACCACCTATACCACCTATACCACCAACACCGCCAACTATACCGCCAACTACACCGCCAACACCGCCATATGTACCCCCTCCTGCACCTCCTGCACCACCCACCAACCCACCCTTCGTTCCACCGCCACCGGAACCATCACACTACGAAGATGGCAATTGGAACTCCGATAGTTCAGAATGGGATGATGAATTCCATGAGGATAGATCTTATGGTGATTCGTATGAAAGTATAGAAACTTTTCCGATGGGAGGTCAATTCGTAGTTCAATATCCTATGCAAACTGTGGGATTTTTCGGATAAGTCTTATACGGTTAACTTAAATTGTAACCAAAAGTTATAAAAGATTTGCACCAAAAGTCAAATTTGATAAAAGACCATTCTATCTCTGAAATAAAATATTTAAATCAATAAAAATAAATTCAGTCATATGTCATCGTCTGAACATCCGTTTTATATGTAGTAAAATGCAGAGCAATTATTATTTTTGTTCTGGCTAAGCTTTTGTTTTTCCGGTGGTATGGAAATTCCGCCTGAGGGAGGAGGAGATTGAGCAAAAAGCAAAGCAAAACCATTGCCAACTAATTAAACTGATGAGAGACAAAGCCTCATGTGAAACAGTAACAAGCAGTAACAAAATAGCAGCAAATACTGTCTATCTGTCAGCAATCCACCCTGTACACTTCTGCCTATTCCCCGAGCTCAGACTGATGTATGCAAACAACAGCCAGGAGTGAATCTACATCAGTATCTGTCTTGTTTTGAATACCCTGAAGATCGGAAGATACATCTGTTCAAAGGGCTATATCTTCGGAGAGTACTTAATTTAAGTTCGTATTTGTAATATTGGAAAATAGGTTTCGAGAAGTGAATGAAAACCAGACAGCATTAAGAAGAATTAAAAATAATTTGCAAGCTTTTTTGTAATGTATTTCTTACCCTAAAGAGAGTTACAGATTCGGTCTGCTGAAATTAAAAGGTCCTTTTCGGTTGTGTGTGCTTTTTTTGCACTGTTGTTACGGCACATTTAAACAATTGAACACACTCGCATCCGTAGGATGGTCAGGCCGTGTGGCTTCGGGTATGCGTGGCATTCGACCCCCCAAAAACGAACTGTTGTCATGGCATTTGCACAATTTCCCACAATGAAAAATAAATAGGTGCTGGATTCATTAGGATTACAAGAGTTTGCAGTCGACAATTGTCGGAAAAAGCGGAGACATCGCATGTAAAAGTGTAGAAATATAAAATCAGTTAACAGTCAAATCGAACTTTTTACTATAAATGATTTTGGCCCTGGGCTACACTGCCTTTGACAGCAATCGAATTGTCATTGTCAAAACATGTAATAAATGCATGGAAAATAAAAATTCAAGAGGGAAAAAATCGACTACACTTTCCAGATTTCAAATGCAGTTTCCATACTTAAATTTAAACCAATTTAAATACAAGTGTACAGTAATTATCAGCTAACTAAAATCAAATTAAACCTACACCTAGTGTCTCTTGAAAATATTGTTTATATGTTTATCGCACTGATACGCCGACTTCCATTTTATGTTTACCTCAAAGTTTGGGGACATAGTTTACGCTGCGCCGCCTGCTAATTTCAATGTAGACTCTAATTTCCATAGCTGGGAATCCCCTTCCTTGGTAAATGTTTGCATAACAACTGACAGTGCAGTACAGTTGCCAGCACTGGCGTAAATTCTGCACTCAAAATTTTGAGTAAATACAATTTTAGAATGCATATGCATATGCGTTCTATTTGGTCAGAAGGAGCAGGATGTGGCTGTCGTATTTAACAAGAGGTGGCAGTGGCGTCTCTGCCAAAATATTTAGCTAATTTATAAATTGCACAGACTGTCCTTTGCCATTGACGCATATACGTAGGTACGTTCATTCTTTTCAGAGGTTTTCAGCCAACAAAGGAAAATGACACAAAAGTGCTTGACAAACAGCCGGAAATTTACTTGCCTGTCTGAATTGTAAAATTAAAGGCAGGAAAATGACCGATGGGAAATTTCTCTTTATGATCATATATAAATGAAAAATTTGTAATAATAATTTTAAAGCCGTTCTAAATTTGTATTACTCGTATCAAGAAAATCATGTTCACTACCATCTGTACATTGTAGGACATACCTTAATCGGTCTTTCGTTTTAACTGTAATATATATATAATTCAATGTCCGGTTTCATATCGTTTCATGACGGGTACATACTTGTATCCATAAACATATATATAGGTATTGCATAACTGCAAACATAATTCATTTTAAAAATCGATTTACCCGCTGGGTCCTGTGTCCAGTGTCCTGCGTCCTGTGACGCAGACGTCGTCGCTGCAGTTTATGAGTTTATTGTTTACGCTGCTTTCAGCCATAAATATTTGCAAAGTGCTTGTAAAAAACAAAAGGTGGCAAGAAACCGATGGAACGCAGAGTGGGAGTGAGATTGTTGGGGCCGGCGCATCGCACCGGACAGACAGAGAGAGTGTTGATGATGGCCAAGAAGGCTGGGGGATGCGGTGGTGGAAGGGAGAGGAAGCCAATAACTTTGTTAAACGCCATCGAGTCGAGCGGCTTATTGTTGTTATTCTGCTGGGCTCGGAGTTCGCACAAAACTTAACTTTTAGTTTGCATGTTTCAGCCATAAATGGAGCTGAAGGAAATTGAAGTGGCCATTGTCCTGGCGGGCATGGGATAACCAGTTACCGCTGCACATCTATATATATTATATATATATTATATATATAGCACTTCTATCGATGAGCTTTAGCACACTAAGCTCCCAGAAAACAAGCGAACCAAATCTATAATTGCCCCCAAACAATCGCCAATCAAATTTGGATCCTTCATCCGTCGACCTCTGCCCTTCTCTGTCGTGACTTCCTTCCTTCCGTGTTAGCGCACCCAAGCTATAAAATTTAATTTATTTGTCTCTAATAATTTCCCACGGCGACTGTTTGTTCTGCAAATGTTGGCCAAGACTGTGGAGAATACTGGGTATACTAAATTTTGGAAGAGGCTTAGGCTATCTACTTCACTTGAAAAATATTCCACAAAACTTTATAATTATTGAACTAAACTTAAATAATGTAGATTAAATAGGAATTATTTTAAAATATATGAGAAAAACTTTTAGAAGAAACCTTTCATTGAGTTCGTAAATATTTCTGTAATATTAGGGTATGCAAAGGTCTATACATATGAAATACTTTACCCAAAGTGCACACTTGTTGTACCGATTCCTCAAGACCTCCACTGAGCGAATCTGAAGCAAACAGGAGTGGAGCTTGAGCTGAAACCGGGCATACACACACACATACACACGCTTCAGTCCAGTCCCTCTCTCTTGGCCAAACTCATAACTTCATTTGGCTTGCGTGCCAATTTGAATTGAATCGGAGGTGGCTTGAGTGGGAGAAACTGGAGGAAAGCTCGTAAAGTTGCTGCTTTCCCACTTAAGCGCAATTGGTGGCCATAAAAGCCACCGCGCTCGACTCGAAGGGATGGTCAACTAGCTGGGGAAGGGCCAGGGATAATAAATAATTAGATCGTTTTGGCCGCAAATTGAAACTTAATGTGGCTAATAATAGGCAAACCCCAAGCTGCAGTTAGTTGCATTTTTCCAATGGCTTTTATTTGTTCATGCTGGCTCCGCTCCTTTTTGCAATATGCTCAAACACTGAAAACATATGTGGGTAACAAATTTGGAAATATTAATAATGCACTTATGAAATTATGATATATTATAATATGCGGGTGTACTTATTGTTTAAAAATAACTTCCTCTAACTGGAAGATTCTTGAGTTCTATTTATTTTGCCTAGAACGCCCTAGGATTGCTATTATTTAAATGTATTTTTCCGAGTGCTGAAGGTAGAGTTGCTGTGGCAACTGAAATTTCAAGCCAAACAATTGACTTATCATTTGACTTTGTACAGAGCAGCCAAACCCCTGGGAGAGATCGAAGGGAACAATGGCGAAATTCCACGCAATCGGCTTATGCTGTTGACATTGCTGCGGTTTGATGCCACTCCCAGGGCCTGCCCCTTTTTGAACACCTGCCCATTTCTGTGGCAGGACAACGCGAAAACCAACAACAATCAACGAACATGGCTTCCAAATGCGAAACAAAGAGGAGCTTTTCGCAAAATCAACAATGTTGACAAATATATTCGCATTTAGGTAGGGCTCGGTAGTGCCTAGTTCAGGGTAATTAAAAATGTCCTCCTTGCGTTTTAAATAAAAATAGAAATTTAGGATCTGTCTCAATTATGCCATGTCCAGGCTTTTGTGGTTTAATAACAATAACTATATAAACTAAGTCGATGCTAAAATAAGAAACTTTCTAAATTAGAAGAAATTTGCATAGCCTTTGAGTGTCGACCTTTTTCCAAATTAAATCTTTTATTTGTGATACCTTCTATCCACAGTTTTTGGTTGAAGAACACGTGGAAAGGTGCCACATTGGCCGAGATAAAAATTCAATTAAACCCGTCCCAGACCAGCCAACAACAACTGGCACGAACGGCTTTGTCAACTAATTACATGTCGGTGACCCGATGGCCGACGAAAGGTTTAAGTAATTTGCAGGGAAACGTTCTATGGCTTTTAATTGGAAAAATACGTTTTCGCATTGAGTGACAAAGGTGTGATTTATTATATTGAATGGCTGTTTGGTTCATCACTCTTCCCCCCTTCTTTTTCTGACTTTTTTTAAACCCTTTTCTGCTCTTCATTTTCCCCAGTTTTTTGTCTGCAATTGTCTGAAAAGTTTTTTATTTTAGATTACTTCCAACTTGATTTGGTTTCCCAGGCAATTTCAAATGAAATTTGTTTGCTTAAAGATTTTTGTAATGTTCGTTTAAAGCGACTTCAAAATTAAATTAAATATTGTAATTAAATGTGTTTGTTAGTTGATATCAAAAAATGTAATACGTCTGCTTGATGAGATTAATTAAAACATTTGTTAACTTGTCAATGAACAGCTCAACTTGATTCGTGTAACAGTAAAGAGTAATCAGGAAATAAACAGGAAATTAACTTTTTGAACACCTGTCAAGGAGGACTCGCAGAGTTTCACAATTTCAAAATTAGATAATGTTTAAAATGTAATTAAAATGTACAGAAATAATATCAAGGATTTTCAGGGAAAAAGTTGTGGTAAGCTGTAATCCGTACTAAAAAGCAAAAGAGGAGAAGCGGAATGTATAAAAGAAAAATCAGATTTGGCTTCGTAAAAGAATCGGAAATTGAATTAAACAATCGATTGTCTAATTAAACAAATAGTTATCTCAAGTATCCTGCTAAGCACGTTAATTTAATCGTAAACTTCTTTCCTTGAACCTCCTTAATAATAAAACCGGTAAATTATTGCTCAGAGCTCTGGCTTATTAGGCTGATAGCCAGATGATTTGTTGCTTACTTCGTTTGCTAATTTTCTTAACTGAAAACTTATGACTCCCTTTTCCAATAGTTCACTTAAGAATTTAAAATCTAACATCATTCGAATAGAAAGCCCTTAGTTGAAAGATAAATTTATAGCTTGCACTTAATAAAAGGTACTTTAAGGTGATATCGCTCAACTAGCCAGCCACAAGACCAAAAGCTTTACCTTGCAACATACTTGAGAGATTAAAACGAATTTCCCAAATATCAATTTGGTCTTATCAACTCAAACTGGCTCTTTGTACGATGGCTGAGTGGCTTAGGGGGTGTGTTTTAAGCCACTTCATGCTGCTGTGCACGTAATTAGTTAACAAGTTGCATAAGTCCTCAAACCTAAGCCTTTTAAGTAGCCATGGAGCGTTGATGTTTTCGTCCTCCGTTTGGGCTTTCGTTCTTCAGTCACTTAGAGTCGGCTTTGTCCACTTGTAGCTACCACACACGTTTATACACAAGTGTATAAGAGTATCTACACGGATCAAAATTATAACATGTTATAAACTTTTTGTCTCAAAAGAAAAATGAAGCAAACATTTGTATATGTATGCTTCTCACCTTGAATTTTTTTAGAAAAAACAGCACAAGTTGTTGATAAATAATTGGCTTATTTTGTAAATAGAAATGTTCTCTGTGCATGGGTACGTTTGAGTTGGCAAGGACATTTCATGCAGCTAATGATGTATTCATTTTCCATGTGCAGCTCTCACTCTGCCCCAGTGTGTCTTTTCAGGCTTTCAATTGCCGGCAAATGAAGCTCCTTGTGGGGCTGTCAGAGCGTTCTGTGTGCTTAGTGCACTGGAAAGATACTTGAGTTTGTATGAGCAAATAATGCGATTTGCTTAATGAGCTTGCCAGGACACAAAAAATCGCACAGCTCATACACATACACATAGACAGACCGATAAGTAGGCAATTCGGTCAGCGAATTTCAACCTTGAACTCAATCTGTGGACCGTAGTTAATTCCGGTAAATATATTCACGAAAATTTCGAACGGGCGAGGGACGATTCTTTCTGCCCTTCATTCCCAGGAGAACTATAAATAACCCTTTCGATAACAAACATTGCGATGTGTTGATAATAAAGGGTTGATTTATTTCTATGCTATGTTGTGATTTATGACCTTTAATGGCCGCCGATGGAAAAGCTTGCGATGCGAACGCCATCGTTGTTGAACGACAAAGGCAGTAGAAATTCAACAATGTGATTTAACATTAAACATTGGGCAGTTGTAAAAAACGTGAAAACAAAAGTCACACAATACGGAAAAGCAGTAAAAGAATGCCGAAATTTGGGTGAATGGCTTCCCTTGAGGTTAATCATGATCGAGACAAGGGAACATCCCATCTAGCAAATATAATTTTTCAAAGGAATAATAGCCTATGATTTAAAATGTGTAAATTGCCTTGTTATGATAATTCGAATTTTTCTTCTTTTATTTAAGAATTTTGTTTTGCATAATATTTTCTAATGTTTCTAGTAGCTATTCTTTTGTATGAAATGCTAACACTTGGCATTAAATAATATTCTATGAATGCAATGGGAAAATTATACTTTGCCCAACGGCTGATTGATTAAAATTCTTGGAACAAAAAGCATGATAAGCCTGGTTGTCGACCTTATTAAAACGAGATCTTCGACCGAACGACCTACAGTACCGCCATGAAGTCGGCTCTCATCGGAATCTTAGCACTGCTGTTTCTTCTCTTCGTTCCGGGCTTAACCCAATATATCGATGGGAAGTGCGGATTTCTACCGAATGGCAGGGTTCCAAATAACATCTCGAGTCCCTGGATGGCATATCTACACACCACAGAACTATTATACGTGTGCGGTGGAACACTAATCACAAAAAGTTTGTTAATCCCTATAAAATCATGTCCTTAACTAAATAATCTTTTCTAATTTCAGATTTAGTACTAACTGCAGCGCATTGTATCCTAAGCAACCAAGAACTGCAAGTGATAAATAAAATCTAAGGAAAACTAAATATGATTAAAAAGATATGCTTCTCCTTTGCAGAGTAGCTCGTCTGGGGGAGTTTATAGAATCCGAGAATGGAGATGGCACGATTAGATCAGAGCACCTAGTAAACGAAACCTTCGTTCACCCCTTTTATAATTTATTAACAAACGTCAATGACATTGCTATTCTCGGCTTGGCCACGGATGTTGTATATTCTGGTGGGTTTGACTTTATTGGTATTATCTGGAATCATAATAACACAATTTGTTTCACTGTTTAGACTACATAAGGCCAATCTGCATACCTTGGTGGACATATTGGAGGAAGTATATCGATAATATCCAGGTTCTAACCGGTGCCAGATGGGGCCCGACAACAAAAATAACGGAAAGCAATGCATTTAGAACTGAAGACATTCGACGGCAACCAGCAGAAATGTGTTCCACAAACGACGGCACTGCAATTTCAAACACTCAGTTCTGCGCTGGAGACTCTGAAAGCAATTTTTGCAATGTGGACTTTAGTTCTCCTTTGGGGGCAGTAATATCTTTCAGAAACTATAGTCGCTTTGTTCTGATCGGCGTGGCAACCGTAACAAAAACGTGCAACAAACCAAGTGTTTACACGGATATCCTAAGCCACATTCAGTTTATCCTGACGGTATGGAGGCAGTTCGGAAAAGTTCAAACAACACAAACTAAAAGCGTTCCAAAACAGTTACCCGAAGAAGATAATAACAGGTTGTTTGTGTTGTCGGAAAATTAAACATCTGAGTTCCAGTTAAAACAATAACTTATTGGCTATAGCTTATTTTATGCTAATTGATTGGAGGAAAATAAAAAATATTAATAAAAATTAAAGCAAAATTTAAAAATAGAGTGGAAAACATCTGATAATAAGTACTTTGTGTTCACCTAAATAAAAAACGGGCGTGGCGCTGTGAAAAGAAGGAAGACCTTCGAAATTTCCTGCAAATCCCGATTTTGTTTGAACAATTAAAATGCCTGAATAGCCGAAGTGCCCGCCCACATGCCAACCGACAGCACATTAACTACAAATTACATTCACATTAGTGTTTCGGAATTTCGCAGCCTGCCCATCCGGCCGGCTCCTTGGTCCTTAGTCCTTGTTCCTTGTTATGCCTTCGTTTTGGCCAGCTCGTGCTCGTCCTCTTGTGCTTTTCATTTCGTTGCCATGCTTTTTTTAAACCAAACACCTAATAAATCAAAGCGGACTCGTGAGAGACCCCAGGAGTATGCTTGTTAAATGCTCGTAATAAATTAGCTGCCGCCTCCCGGACCGCAAAGTCCGGCATTGCCCACTCCGCCCACCTGCCAGACATCGGGAACCACGCTTCTCCTTCTCCTTCTTCTCCGTCTCTTGATTATTGGCTTAGCTCATGGTCTGGCCATTTTACAATTGCCTCCTCACCATCCGATGCCCCCCAATTGAACTCAATCGATGCCATTCTTTCTCTACACTCTGTGGCCCAGACTCATTCATTTTGCTTGCAATTTTATTTCTTTATTTCTTTTTTTTTTTTGGTTTTTGCCAGTTAGATTTTTTTGTGTTATTTTTTAATGAAGTCAGCGCAAAATTTTACGCTGGTCTAGCAATTATTGGTGGTGGCTGAAGTTAGGAAATTTTTGCGATTGGGGAAAAAGATTTCGCGCATTTGGCATTCGCTTTTATGCAATTCATTTTTAATTTCGCTTTGCTTGAACTTTTCGCTGATAATTTGGGGGAACTGTTTAAGATGAGAGTCAGTCGTTAAGCTAGTTATTCTCCAGACATTTTCATTTATTTTCTTAAGAGAAGTATGATTAATTACTGTAAGATTTAAGCTGGAACTACTTACAAAGGAAAAACGATACTCGTTTTCAGCTCTCTAATGGGATCATCTATTTTAACGCAAAACGGTCCAAATTTTAAGTTTATAAGTTTGAAAACTAATTAATTTTGAGTTAAAGAACAATCTCAACGTGATATTACATTCAATGCTATTACTTTTTTCAATCTTGTCCCAAAAAAATTATTTTTAAGACGATTAACAGAAATTTTACAAAAATGTTCATTTTAAAAAATCAATTTTTAGCCAAAATTTGCGTTTCTTTGAAATGGGTGACATCATTATCTTTTCTTAAAATTGGTCAAAGTTTTGAATGAAGTTCAAAATTAAATTACGAGTTGAACGACGTATTATATTCCACTATTGGCTTTATTATGAGAAAAATACAGATTTTGAGCGAAATATAGCGACAGCGAATACCTTATAGCCTTATACTTGTACTTATTTTCCCTGCCTACCAATCTAACAACAAGCAAAGCTTTTGTATAATTTTATAAGTAGAACCTGCACAATTACAAAAAGGCTGCATCATACTCTTCCCATTAGCAAAAGACTCATGTTGACTAAAATTTGTTCCCTTTGATACATATTTGCCTTCTCGATTCAGTCGACTTTTTTGGCTGAAAGGATTGTTACTCTGCACATGAGTACATACGGACATTTTTATGAGTTGCGCGTAAATGTTGCATAATTGTTTCATGTACACGATGTCACAGGTACGCGACTAACGAAGCGCTTCATGATCGGCCAAGAAGTCGCAGTTTACGAGGAGAAGGGACCAGGTGGGCCGAGTCAGCGCTAATTAGAATGCCAGCGTCAGGTAGAAGGCACCAAGTAGCAGAGATAGTCATCAGCAGGTTCCTACATCCTGCACAGGGAGAATTCTCTTGTCCTCAAAGCAAAATTACTTACTTATAAAGGAAAATCTTCTTTAAAACATTTATAAATGTTATTTTCATATGCTTTTTAGGTATTAGAGCCTCAACGTTCTTTAAAATTATTATTTCTATTATTATTATTATTTATATTAAAAATTTTAAAAAATTTGATGAAAGTTTTAGTCATTTTATTTACCGTGTCGAAAAAATGTTCTTCCAGCCAGGCAAAGTTGATGAGAGACTCCTTCTTGACTTCCAGCCTCCGTGCAAAACTTCCTTTCTGCCATTTTATTTGACTAACTTTGGCGCAGCGAAGTTCTTAAGCGCGTGCAGGTAAAAATGCAACGTCAACGCCTCGAACGTAGACCGAAAGTTAAATGTATCTGAGTGCCAGGTGGGTTGGTAATGGGGGAGTGCATCACGCTAATTTCTGCAAACGCGTGGCAGGCTAAAATTAAAATAGCAACGCCAGAGATGCGTTCTTTCAGAATCAGGAGCAAATAAAAGGTGGCGTGCGCTGCAAAGTGTGCAACGAAATTTGTGCAAGCTCCATCTCCTTCTCTTCTAATAAAAATGTTATGAATGTGAAATGAATACAATTTGTGTATAACGTCCTCAGAAAATAATGGTATATACGAGGTGTGTTCAAAAAGTAAGGTGACTCTTCAAATTTCGCGAATTTCAAATTTTTCGATTATCGATTTTTTTGTTTTGTTATATTGGTACACTCTTCCCTAACATCTGTACCAAGTTTCAATGGAACATCCTCTTTTGTTTGGTTGTGAGAGGCGTAAAGTTACAAGTTGTTTTGCGAGCTCGGCGATTTTTATACCCGTTACTCGTAGAGTAAAAGGGTATACTAGATTCGTTGAAAAGTATGTAACAGATAGAAGGAAGCGTTTGCGACCCTATAAAGTATATATATTCTTGATCAGGATCAATAGCGAAGTCGATTTAGCCATGTCCGTCTGTCCGTCCGTCCGTCCGTCCGTCCGTCCGTCCGTCCGTCCGTCCGTCCGTCCGTCCGTCCGTCCGTCCGTCCGACCGTATGAACGCTGAGATCTCAGGACCTATAGCAGATACAAAGCTGAGATTAAGCATGAAGATTCTTGAGGTCCCGGGACAGCGCAAGTTTATTACAGCATCCTGCCACGCCCACTCTAACGTCCACAAATCGCAAAAAACTAAAATTGCTGAAATCTCAGAAACTATTGCAGATAGAAAGTTGAAATTCAGAAAGTATAATCTTTAGATGACAGCGCATCTTATAGTGGTACTACTATCCGGCCACACCCACCCATACGCCCACAAGGCTCAAAAGAAGCTTTTCGGATTTTCTAGAAAAGCTGATATCTCGTTAACTATAAGAGATAGAAAGTTCGGATCAAGCATGTATGTTTCTATGATGCTCCCAATGCGAATTGTTTTTTTTCCGATCACGCCACGCCCACTCTATCGCCCACAAAACCCGAAAAACCAAAAATGCAAAAATCTTAAAAACTATAAAAGCTACACAATTTTGCTTAGGAACACGTATTTAGGAGATGCCTCTGCAACTTTCCACAAAGTTGCATCCGGCCACGCCCACTCTAACGCCCACAAACCGCGGAAAACTGTGGAGTCTATAATATTATTATGAATGCCTTCGTTTGACCTTGTGTAACTTATTTCTGTTAATATCTATCGATTTACCAAAGGTTTTTCAAATCGGAACATTATTTCGCTATTTATGAAGAAATTAAGGTTATAAGTCTCCACATGGGCAGTGACGTCACTATAAGCATACTCAACATACTTCCTCTGACAATAGGTGGCGCCTTGTGAATTTCCACTAGCAAAATTAATATTTTAAAATTGTGTAAAACAGTAACGGGTATCTTATAGTCGCGGCACTCGACTATAGCGTTTCCTCTTGTTTGCTATCGAAAAATATGGATCAAAGGATTTGGATTTTTTGGCCAAAAACAACACCACAATAATGCCTCAGCCACCATATTCACCGGATTTGGCCCCATGTGACTTTTTCTTGTTCCCAAAACTGAAGATAATCGAAAAATTTGAAAAATTTGAAATTTGAAAAGTCACCTTACTTTTTGAACACACCTCGTATAACTTCTAAAAGGTTTCGATAATCGAAAAATTTGAAATTCGCGAAATTTGAAGAGTCACCTTACTTTTTGAACACACCTCGTATATAGATTAAATATAAAAAGATTAAAAATTATTTTTGTAATAAAAACTGTTAAATAAAAAAGCATTTAAAAACTGGTAGGAATGAAATTATTATCAAAATTTCATTTGATAAATTTCACACATAATGTTAAACAATTAAAAATTATTTAAGTTGCTCTTAAAAAGAATTTTTCGCCATCAAGTAACAACCGAAGAAAAGAGTACATAAACTGAAAGGCCCAAAAAGACCAAGACTTGTTCATTATTCAAAGGCCAAAAGTATGGGAATACCTTATATATTCAGAAGCAAGAGGCTAAAAGGCTAACCAATTTTTTTTTTAAAACATGCAGTAGACTTGGCCGTTTGGTCACTTTGCAGTTGCATGCCGCACGCGTTCAGTTTCCCCCTTTTGCGGCCACAACTGTTGGTACCAAGGAAGCCCAAGGAAAATCGCTCCAAATGAAAAATCACAGCGCCGTGCAGTGGTGTCTCATTCCGTGCGCCCTACTTCCGCTTCCTGACTTCTGGGTTCCGTTCACCCACTGGCCAGCGAGGTCCTAACATTTTTATTGTGTTCTGCTCGGTGTGGCAAAGTCATATTCATTCACATTCATTCATTCATTCACTTCTGACTTGCAACACATTTTTATATCTCCTCTTTTGGTGCTGCTCTTTTTCCGTGCGCAGAGTGTGAATGGTTTTTGTATCAGTTTTATATAAGTCTCTCGGATACACTTTTCAGGAATTTTTAGATGAAAATTATGTAATCATTGGGAAAAATTGTTACTTACCCGAACTTACTATAGACTCTTATTTATATAAATACTCTTTAAATTTTAAGTTCAGGAAACATTGTATTTCCTACAATATTTTATGAAATAGAAAGACTGAGAAAGTTAACGTACTCAGACTGCACGGCAGTTGGTTTTTATTTATTTTTTTTTTCATTTTCATTTCCTATTTTCACATTTTTACTTCTGTCTGTGCTTTGGCTTTTTGATGTGTCCCATTTTGTGTTTGGTGTGGTGTGGTGTGTGCAGTTAAAAGATTTATAAATATGAATTTTATACATTGTGGCATGAAAAATGCAAATTTTAGAAATGGCCAAAGGAAATAGAAATGGTCATGGGCAAAAGCACAGTTTTTACCATTTCCCTCAAAAGACTGAAGTCCTTGCATGCCTTTTGTCCCCTCTTCTCCCTCTATTTTGTCTCTCTTTTTTTGTGTCTTTACAAAGGAGTTTTATAGTTTTTTCCCACCATTTTTTTTTGCCAGTCACACAGATGCGTTTAATGACCAAGAGACTGATACAACCAGTATTGTACCGAATGCAACAAATGGCCACAGGAACCACCAAAATGATACTCTTTTGAAGTCAAAAAAAAGGTGGAATAGCTAGTAAGGGCATGTTGGTATATAAATGGGAAATATAAGTTCGTGCTTAAAAGTTGAAAGGCTAATCATGTTTTCCCTTAATTTAAATAATACATATGTTATATTTTTTTTAATCATAGATTTTTACTTAGGGCATAGAAAGGTCCATTCAACTCTAAACGAAACAGTCTCGTTATATTACTAGATAATTAATTGCTATTTGTGCATGAATTTTTACAACCCAACTCGTTGAATGAACTTGTCGGTTTTTTTGCTGGCCAATGCCATAAATCAGTACACTTTTATGCAAAATTTTCCGGAAATTTTATGGGCTAAAATTGGCAGTTTGCTGGCTGGCCGGAGGATATTAATATTTATTAACATGCGGTGCATGATTAATGCATAATAATGAAATTAGTTAAAGCCTCGAGATCTGCCGGAATGCAGCGGCACAAAAAATAGGATGTGCAATTCACAATTAAAGGTTTCAAGTTGGCTTGCAAAGTGTAATTAATAACAAATGTCATCAATTATTCTAAGCCAAAACGATTTGTGGGGACAGCTTGTGCTAAAATCGAGGGGGTGCGATAATTGACAGAGAAATCGCTATTTCCATTTAAATCAATTAAATTATGAATGCAACTAAAATAATTTAATGATGCACAGGGGTTTTGCGATTCGCAATGGTTTTACTTCTCCCAACCACTCGATGACAGCAATAAAATAAATTTTGTATTACGCAATTGCAGTTAATTATTAATTCAATAAACTTTTGCCCACTCACTTAAAAGTATTTCAAATAATTGTCATCAATAAGTGCTCATGAGAGTGTCTGTTGGTGAAGCAAATTACATAAATTATGCAGTTTATCAACAGCCGAGCCAAAGAAATTGTCATTTAAAGAGTGTGTTAATTGTCAAGTGGCTTGCGGAATTACGCATTTTAATTGAAATGGCCGACTGAAGGACTTATGCGATTAATATTTAAATCAACTGATAAATTGCTAAATATGAATTATTTATTAAAGCTGAAAACCACACTAAACATTCCACTGAACGATGAGCAAAACTTCTGTTCCAGCAATAACTATTGAGGTGTTCCAAAACTAGGCTTATTTTAATTTAAAATTTTAATTCCGTCTCCTTAGATTTAGCTAACAGAGTGCCTCGTTAAAATTTATCGAGTGTAAGCCTGAAGTTTCATATGACTGTAACTGCGCCATGTAAATAAATTGATTGTTTTAAGCTGCTGGCTGTTGAAATCCTTTCTCGTAAACTTTCTCTTAGCTCAATTATGCCTTCCAGCAGACAATTGTGAGGAGGCCCCAGCTGCTTGGATTTTATTACAGCGATTTACATAAAACCGTCAAGGAAAATGGCCGCAATATAATCGTAAATTTCAGCGACAATCAAATTAGCCGGCTAAATCAACTCACCCCGAGGACAATTCCAAGTATATTTTGCCTTATAAGGCAAGTACTCACAATATTTAGTCTTAGTTGCTATTAACTATAGAAAATGAAGATTAACAGATTTCAAACATAGGAATTCGTGTGTTTTATTGGTTTGAACTCTAATTTTCTAATCCCTACTCGAAAGTGATTATGTTGTTGAACTTGGGATCATGGCACTTTGACCGTTGCCATAAAAACGCCAAATCCGGAGGATAAAATCGATGTGACTCATCACATCTGTATAAATACTAGGCATTTTGCACTTTTGATTCGTGGTGGCAATGCCAATTTGAACATATCTCCTTAAGTTTCTATATGAAATTATTGCTACCAAAGGACTACTGGATTCAGCATTACATAGATCACTTTCTGAGTCTCCGGCACAAAACTGGTTGCTCATTATGTTACCCATAGTGGAATTAATATAGTTATGGCATACTTCTGCTGGTTGACGCCGGATTTCCACGAGCCTTCGACCACTATCTTTTCCATTGAGCGGCTTGCCCCACACATAGCCTTTCAGATCTTGAATGTTATCGATGTAGCGTTTCCATGAACGATTCCAAACTATGCAAATGGGTCTGATGTAGTCTATTATAGAGAAAATTGTTATCATGGTTTTTTTAAAATAATTGGAATCAAACTCACCTGTGTAAACTACATTTGTAGCTAGTTCAAGAAGGGCTATGTCATTGTCATATGTATCTATGTCAAAATAAGGGTGACTGCAGGTTTCCCTTACCTTGTACTCTACAGTAAATGTGTTTTCTCCTGAGGTTTCTATAAACTCCCCAAAGCGAGCTATTCTGCAGAAGGATATAAATATTTTGATTTTATTTGAGCTTTTATATTTACTCACAGTTGAGCGTTACTTAACACGCAATGCGCTGCAGTCATTATCAGTTCTGTACATAAAGAAAATATAATTTTTAGTACAATGCCAAGACCTTCAAAATATTATCTTCTTTTATACAAACTTTGAGAGATCAGAGTTCCGAGGCACACAAACATCAGATCAGTCGTATGCAGAAAAGTAATCCAGGGACTGGAAGAATTATTCGCATTTGTTTGAACTGCACAATCTCCATCGAGAAACTGTGCTAATACTGAGAATGGGAAGGCAATCAACAAGAGGAAGCTAAGTGCTGGCATTCCGAATACTTAGGCTTTCATCGCGCTACTGTCGCTCGATCAGTCGAAGCTCTCTCTTTTATATTATCAGAAATGAATAATTAATATTATTAAGAAAAAAACAAATTACTAAAGAGATTAATCTTAAGTTTCAATTCCTACTAATCAAGTGGGTTATTTGTATACCTATTGCGGATTAGAGATTATTTTATTATGACTAATTATTTTATAAGAATGATATTTCCTATAATACATGCAAAGTTTTGAATTTTTTAAAAAGAGTTACCATCTTCTGGCACTGGAATAAGCTTAGAATCTTTGAATTTGGGGAAATGCATAGCGATTCAGGATATTCGGGAAATGTGCTCTCAAGTTTACAGGTCGCCGACGGCAGTCAATTTTCTTGTTTACAATGGAGCACACATACGTACGTTATTCCACCTCCCACTGGTACCCACACACACGCACACACAATGACAAATAGCAAACAATTACAGGGGGGCGTGACGAGGTTGTCTCCGCCTCCTATCTCTGTACGCCCTGCTGCTGCTGCTCCTGCTGCTGTTGTTGTTGTTGGTTTTCGGCCGCAATAAATACAATTTGCATGACAAAATAGCAAACAACGGCAGCTTTCGCATATGCATGTATGTGTGTATATTCGAGAGTACGTATACGTACGGTACGTAAGTGTGTGTGGGCGGGTGATGAGGTGGGGGCGTGGCACGGAAGCGTCTGCAGGTTCACTCAGCCAAACAAAACTACACACAAAAACAATCAACGGGCAGTCCAACGCAACAACAATAGCTACGAAAAGAAAAGAGGCTTTTGGTTTAAAAACCGAATCTTGAAACACCCTATCAAATTATAGATTAAGGGAAAATAATGGATTGCATTACTTATGGGAATTATACTCAAATCTGGAAGTTCTTTTATAAGAAGTTAAGTATTTGAATGGTTCAAAATGTGTTCGATCCTAGAAATAACTTCAAAATTGTATGCTATTACAAAGTGTACAACCAATGGCATCTGAAAAACACAAAATTAAGACAACAACAACATGATCTTCATTATATAATATAAGTGAATTTTTTAATTTAATTCTCATTACTAACTTGCAGATGCTAGGTTAAAATAAAAATACCATTTGAAAAGAGTATACCAGAAGCAAACGAGGCGGAGGCTGAGGCTCGTAGTTAGGCTTCTGCCGCTTCTGTGAAACAACTTATGAATATTCAATTTTACATAAAAGATTTTTTGTTGTTGCTGTCCTGGCTGTTGTTATTTTGAGTGTTTTGTTGCCACTGTGCTGCTGTAGCTCCTGGTTTGTGCAGTCCGCCTTTTTTTTATATTTCTCGCTGTGCTCTTCATGGCAGCAAAAACTCCTCATGCATGCCATGAAATGTGAAAAATATTGGCCAGGCTGACAGAATGGGGTGTTACTAACTGGATAGGATGGACCGAGGTGGTATAAAACGTGAAGATAATGCCAAAGCACTGAAAAAAATAATTTATCTAACTATTTAAGAGAAAAGAAAAAATTGGCAATGTATTGACAAAGAACATGCAGTTTTTATTTAAGGATTGCAGACTCTTTCATAGATCCTTCTTTCTCATCCAATTATAATTAGCAAGCTCAGTCCAACTCAAGATCCCTTTCGACTAGTCCGCTGCTTATCTGAAGCTTAGACAATTTCATGATAGTCAGCGATTTGAGCAGGTCATCCATGTGAATCTCCAGTTGCTGGCACTCCTGCAAGCTCTGATCCTTCACCTTTAAGTCCCAATCAAACGCTTTCTCACCAGGTCCACCAACACCGATATTGCGCTGATCGCGCATGAGCTGGCGCACGCGATACATGGAGGCGTGGCGACACAACTCTCGCAGATCTGATCCGGAGAACCCTGCCGTCAAGTTGGCCAGCTCCTTAAGGTTAACCGAGGGATTCAGCTGCTCGCTCTGCAAAATCAACTTAAGAATGGCCTGTCGTTGGCCATCGCGTGGTACTCCGATATGGAATTGGGCAGGCATCCGGCGCAGAATGGCCTTGTCCAAATCCTGCGGTCGATTGGTGGCTCCCAAGACCATCACACAAACATCGGCACTGCTCAGCAAGCCATCCCACTGCAACATGAATTGGGTCTTCATCATGGCGGTTGCCTCATGATCACAGCTGCCGCGCATCCGCAAAAAGGATTCGATTTCGTCAATGAAAATGATACAGGGCTGAAGTTTTTTGGCCAGTGTGAACACGGCAGTGGCCAGCTTCTGGCTTTCACCGTACCACTTGTCCGTCAGCACGGCCACATCCAGATTTAATGAACCGCATACCAGCGTCCTTGGCAAGGGCTTTGGCTATGAGGGTTTTGCCACAGCCGGGCGGTCCATGGAGAAGAACTCCCTTGGGTGCCCGCCAGAGTTGCGATCGACGAAAAAGATCGCGGTGACGCACTGGCATCACCACCGTCTCCCTCAGCTCCTGGATAACCGCATCGAGGCCGGCAATATTGGCCCAAGTAATATCGATGTCCTCCGGGGTCACCAGATGGGATGCAAGTATCAACTCATGTTCGTTCAAGTCTCGGGATCGTATCTTTTCAGCTGTATCTCTAGCCGACGAATTGAGCTTACTCAGCTGCTTTTCCGCCAACTGTTTGGCCCTATTCCGCATCCTGTTATTGGGATCCAGAGCATTGACCACCCATTTAGCACTATAGTAGGTAAGTGCGGTCATAGCGCACAGCCGGACTATGATGGCCAAGATACGGGTACTTGGGTTTTCTGTCGAGTCCATTTTCCATACTCCAATTTGTGTCAACTGTCTAAAGTCTGAAGAAATTGTCAAGCAAAAAATAAATTTTGACAAATTCCGACGACGATTGCTATATTTATCCACTGTAGAGTGCCCAGCTGCGTTTTAATTTCTGTTTAACTTTTCCTGCCAGCCCTGGTTTCTCCTGCAGGATTTTGACGCTAACCTGCAAGAAACCCTAACAAATAAAAATAACTGAAAAAGAGTGAATGGAAGGCGGAGAAGAATGTTTTCTAGTTTAGTATCTTTTAGCGGAAGTCAATGTAACAAAAGATAAACTTGTCGAGCCAGCTGCTGTTCCTTGTTCCTTGTATCTAGCTGTGAGGCTGCGTCGCTGTTCCTCCGGTATCCTCCTGAATTGCAGCAACAGCCAAGGACGAAAGGCCAAGGCGTAAGACGGTCGGTCGGACGGTCAGAAGTATTAACTAAACACTGCAGCAATTTATCTGCGAACCCCTTTTTACCGCCCAACCCATTTCTCCCAGCCCACCGAACGTAGGTCAGCTCTGTGCTTTGTCTTAAAGTTTTTTCCACCACCCCTGCCGCTTGCTCCATGTCCTTTTCACGGAAATCGCTGTGCACTGTGTTGTTTTTTGAGCTTCCTTCCGCATTACAAAAGAATTACTCAACACAATGTCTGGCCGAAGTTTTCCACAACTACCAAATGGAGGTTGATCATTCCCCACCGTTTTCCTCCAATAGTTTTCATATTCCCAGCTCAGGTGTCTCTAGCTGCCTTAGAAATTGCAATTTCACAAAACTGTTGTTAGATTTTTAATCCAACATTTTCACTATTTTGGTGCGCTGATTACAATTTACATACAACAAAAAAACAACGAAATTTATAGATTTTTAAAAACTAATATTGTAAGACAACCAATATTGTAATACAGCCAATTAAATTAGTTTTTCTAAAGAAAAGGTCTTTATCTCAACCAATAAGATTAGCCATCTTCAACTATAGCTTCTCTCAAAACTGATCCGCTCTTGACCTTTGCCCTCTTAACCGAATTTCCCAGTCTCGAACGCAGCTTTTCCATGGAAATCACTTCCATTCTGAAGAAGATGACGGTCAGAGGAGAGTGAAAGCAGCATTACATCATCCCACCTCCGTTGGGGCGCCATTATGGATGCAATTTCAGTGCGCACTTTGTGTTACATCTTTAAGCTCGTTAGCGTGCCAGGAACCTTTATGTTGTGCAAACGGCCCAACTTCTTCCACTGTCTATTCGCCTTTCTCTGAGCTACTTTTGAAGAGTTCATAAAAATCACTTCAACTGTGCAATATTTCATGATTCCACCGTCTCCCCCCACTCGCTCACTACCTTTCACTGGATGCCACCCACTATATCTTGTCAGCCTTCCTTTTCCTTATACTTTTTTCTTTGTAAGATTCCAAGTTCGTTCGTTCGTTCTACTGAACACACGAAAAATTTAATTATATGTTTTGTTGTTATTGCTGTGCCTATATTGTTGCATAAACTGATGGCGCTTTTACTACGAAACTTTTGAAGGATTTATGGAAAATGTGACATTCCTCCCAAATGCGGGTTTTTATTTTCAGAGTTTTATGATTTACTTTAATAAAGACGCGAATAACTACTAGCTATTAAAAAATCACCATATTTTAATTTATTATAAAATAAATATTGAATGCGTAAATCAATCTTTGTCAAACCAAATCGCTTTGAGGCACTCTGATTACTTTTCAAAGTCTATATCTACCCTTATGCCTTGTCACTTGGTCGGTCATAACCTTCTTGTCATTCTTCTTCAGTCTGCCCATGATCATATCGTACAAAGTGTCCACGTGAGGAGATAGATAAACATCTATCCTGACATGATCTTCAATATCGCCTAATAGGGCCGAGCAGGTATCGAACTGGCCCTCATAGAACTTGGCCAAGATAGTCCACATTTTTGGTGACAGCTGAAAAAAAGGCTTAAACGATTCCGAATTGATGGCGCGCAGCTGCAACATATCCCGATCGTAAGTGGCTAAAGCACAGAGTCCGGCATAGAAGGGGACGTCTTCTGGAGCAACGATCTTATCGTAATCATACCGCCCAAAGGAAGTATTCAGAAAGTACTGGGCGGCAGACTTATATAACTTCAAACCCATGTTGGCCAAACCAGCGGCACAGCTAAGACGAGCAGGAACTTCCTGGCACAGGTTCTCAAAGCCGAATGCATACTGCTTGGCCTCGTCGATGTAGGTCAGTACATGCCACCAATTGGCCATGTAAATGGAGACCCTGATCAGATTGCGAAACATATTGATCACATTATCACTGCTGGTACAATAGGACCTGGCTCGAGCATAAAACTTGACGGCCCTCTGCAGATTTCCGCTCTTCTCGTAATGATCTCCGATCTCCTCCAGAGTGCGTCGCACATAAGAGCTACCCGAATTCGATTTCTTGAAATTCAGTTCAGCGTCCAGTTCTTGGAGTGCAAGATTAGCCTCCATGGTGTTATCCTCCACCCAGTACGAATCGTAGGGCACCAGTCTTCTACCTCTACCCCTTGATGTACTCTGTTCGTTTCCATCAGTAGTGGGAAATGCTCCTCTCTCGTCTAGGTTCTTGTGGGTTTTCCTGTCCATCTCAATGCAGAGGGTCTTGTACAGCTCATCGTACAACTTGACATTGAAGGTGGTCTTCACGTGAGCTATGGCCAGCTCTAGGGCAGGAACACTCAACTGGGGGCACACCTGGGCAATGAACTTCAAGCGGATGAGCCGAGGAATATCCGTATAGCGATCGGCATAACTGGGCAGATGCAACACGGCCCCCTCCTGCATGGCCTCTTCATTATCCGTCATTCTGGATAACGATTTAAAGACCGTACTACTTCCCTTATCCATCCGTGCCTTCTGGATGGAACAATTGCTTTAATTTGTTTCTGAATCTGTAAATTTTTAGACGGGAGTTTCCAAAGGTTTTTGTGATTGTGAGAGAAGAGTGTTCTGAGATGCGCGAAAATATATTTTCAAGAGGGTCAAAAATATATATTAAAATCTCTCTGATTTGTTTAAAAATAATGTTACTCCTGTCAAGAGAGAGTTTCTGTCTCTTTTGACAATATCTAGTATTTTTAAAACTGCAAATCTATCAAATATAATCATCGATTTTGTGATATTTTAGACTTTGGTATCCCGTTATTTTTCCAGGGAGTTTGCATAACATTTGGCCAGCCAAAGAGGACGTCTAAGAGGCAAATCAATTCAAAGCTTTTGCACGATTTTCCTCCTTTACGGTTTTGGCCATTTTGCATTTGCGTGAGGAAGCGAAAGACCAACGACCAGGCCAATAAATTCAGCCAAAAGCGACGCATCAATAAACCGTTAACTAGCGGTAACAATTTCTTATATATCTATATATATATATACGATTCGATTCCCTACCATTCGTTTACTGATTTATGGGTCTCTGATGTCTGCGATTTCTCAAGTTCTGGTAATTTGATTTTTTCATATTCCTCCCTAACTCTCCAACCCACCCTCCGTTGATCCCTTTCAATGCCTTTTGCCAATTTGATTTGTATCTGTATAATGGAATTTGGTTATTCCCCGGGAATCGTAACCATTTCGGACAATCTGCAGATACAGATTCGCGCACGGGCTGTTGCATATTGCATTTTTGCTAGCATGTTAGGCCACATGGCTACCAATTCATATCAACTTGACACCTGCACTAAGACAATTCAATAGTTTTCAGGAATCATTTAATTTTGGTATTTCATCTGCTTTCCATTACTAAGTATATTACAATTTATAAAAATTGCTAGAAGAGAGTATGAGATAATCGTTGGTAAAGAATTGTCTACATCGAACGAACGAGGTCTCCGGTCAGCTCTTCTTACATAAAATTTAGTTGGTCAAAATGTAGTAAAAGCAGGGGATCTTTGAATCGGAAAAATCGCAAGCCTATTAGCCATTTCGACGGCGATAGTGACGCCACATATCGCAGATGGCCGGCTTGAGCAGACAGTTGCACTCTATAGGTCGGGCATCCGAGAAGGGATCTCGCTTGCACTCTGAAAAGCTTGGATACTTGGTTTTGCGCCTGCTGCCACATCGTCTGAATGGTTTACGGCACTTGGGGGGATTGCGGGCGGCCACGCTGCAGTTAGGCATTTTGAATCGGGGACATTTGGTTGGTTTCATCAGTTTACAGGGTTCGGTTAACTTTAGATCGAGTTTCCCCAAAACGCACAAATTCTCAGGGCATTTCGGTTTCAAATTGACCACTTTGCGCTTGCGTCTTGGCATTGGTGGCGCTATCGGGACGCAATGAGCCTTTCTTTTACGCCGCTTGACCACACATTCATACCATGTCCTTGGATACTTCCTTTTGTGCATATCCGAGGGCTTGTAGTGGGTCAGATCCATGGCATCCACTTCGGTGGCACAGGGATCGGCCAAACATTTTTTCCGGTAATCAATAAAGGCATGCACATTGAACTCTGGATCCGAGCGACATTTGTACTCTGTGCGGCGCATTGACTGCCAGCAGGCATCGTAGACCTTTGACTTGTCCATAGGCACATTTTTCTTAAGGTCTTTGCGCGGTATACCCAAAGGTGCCAGGTACCCACTGTCGTAGCCATCCTGCGAGTACAGATTGCCTTCAGAACTTAAATGGCGACATGACGCTTGTAGCAGCAGGCTCGAAACTTGTTTTTGCAGAACATGCGAGATAAGCGTTTTGCTTTTCATAAGCATTTTAATTTCGATTGCTTGGCGAGTCTTTTTTATATATGGAAATTACAACGATAAAATTTTAAAGGAAAATTTGTAAAAACGCCAGGAAGAAAATTTGGTCGTCGAAATGCACTAAAATTTTACTACTGACCGCACCGCATTTTTTTCGTTCTAGATGTGAGGTCTTTGGAGCTGCTGAAAAGACTGAAGTCCAGACAGTCGTTTTGAGGGCATAACTTTGACATCTGGACTGAAACAAAACTCATGGGTATGTTTTCAATATACTTTGTTGTTTGTGAGTGGCTAAAAGAAGTATAATAATACTTCAGATATCCTTACAGTTTAATAGAAATGGTTGAGGCTGATAAAACTGTAGAATTCCATATTCTTATATAAAAAATGATACAAAATTTCCTTCTATAAAAGCTTGCTCAAAAGCTGTTTTTAAAAATCACATAAAAACCGAAAACCATCCACTGGGCCAAGAGCCGACATGCCACGCCCCTTTAATATCCAGTGGCCGTCACACACTCGCCCACTTGACCGCTAATAGAGCGCCGAGGCTTTTGGGCCCAGATTGCAATTAAAATCGATTTTCTACTTTGATCGGCGCTCTTTGATTGCCAAAGCTGACCCGCCCACAACCGGCTGTTACGCCCACACCATCCCCAGCCGCCTGTGTTTGACGTCTATTGTGTCGATTTGTGTCTGTCAACGTCTGGGGCTCCTACATCCATCCATCCATCCATCGCGCCTTTTGCCGTCAGCCCTTTGAACAAATTTTAATGAAATTAGAAATTTGTACGCGCCGACGAAAAACTGAAAACGATGCCAACGATACAAAGTCTCGTCCACCCTTCGATTTCTTGCCAATCGTGAGGCATTTTTGACTTTGATTGCCAACGCTGGAAAACTGCGATCCCCACCCGGCCAACTTTTAACGTCAATCTGGTCTACTTGGACACCAACTTTGTCGTTGTTTTTGCTACTTTCAATCAAAAGTCATTGTATAGAGACGACAGGTCAAAGGACAAGATAAAAGGATTGCTGGAAAAATGTACTAAGTTTAAGAACTACAATTTCTAGGGTTTTTATGCCAAATAAGTTTAGTTTAAAATAGCATTGCTTTATGACAAGTTCCTCTATCAGTCAATTCTTTTAAAGTTTGTTTACCACTTAAAAATTGAATGCAATTTTCATTAAACGCTTTCCGTTGTGTGAAAATTTAATTATATTTCAATTTATTTCATTTTCCTTTTTTCTCACAGCAGGAAATTAACCAAACAAAAGATGACTCAGAAGCGGAGACCAGAGTAGAAGAGAATTTCCACTTTTTGCACTCCAATTTACTGTCTTTGACGCGGTCCAAGAAGCTAGACAGTAGCTGCCACGCCCCCAGAATCAGCAACGGGGGCGGTAACCACAACACAGAATGGGTGAATGGGAAAGAATAAGAATTTCTAGCTGTGCTAATTAAGTTTGTGATTGCCTTTAATAAGAACACTTTGTGAGGGAGAATGAAAATTGAAAAATTGTTGGATAGTTTATAAAAAAATCTGCTTGGACTTTCCCTTAGCTACTTTTAGCACTACTTAAGGACGTTCATACCAAAGTTCTTTACTTTTACTTTATTCGTTGTCTTTAATCACTCAAAAAATAAATGTAAATTATTTCAAGCTCTCATAAATTCAATACAATTGGTGAACATTTAACATTGAAATGAAATGAAATGTGTCAGGCATTTTAAAAAATATTCCTAAACTTGTTGGTCCAATCAAGGCAATTAATTAAAAACAAAAGCCGAATTCACATAGAAGTTGAACTGACAACTCAAAAAATGGCAGGCAACAAGCCAATCATGTCTAAATAATTGTTTATTTTCAACAAAATTTATTGTTCACTGCACCTGCGGCACGCCCCAAAAGTGAGCACATAGTGGGCAAAGGGTAGAGGGGGCAGATGTGTTTTCCAGACTTGTATAGATTTTCATTTGCACTCGAAAACATGGAAATTGAATGCCCTCATGAGTGTGCAAATTTTGTATATAATTTGTACGACAAACAAATGACTGCCAGAACGATACAGCCACCAAGTGGGTGCGACAGAGAGAGAGAGTACGCTTTAGGCCTTCTGCCGTGTTGACCATTCAGCTTGGGTAAATAAAACATGTAAGCTGTTTGTCAAATATTTACCATCGGAACTTTAATGCCATTGCATACGCGATATCGGACACTTAAAGCCATTCCTTTTACACTGACCTCTGCAAGAATTGCATATTATCTTTATCTCTCTCTGTGGAAAGTTAATTAAAGCCTGCTAATAAGTTTTGATTGTGTGTCAAATATAGTTTTAATCTTATCCAATTAAAGAGTTTCAAATGGATAAATTAGTTAAAGATCCGGTCTGAAGTTATGAATGACTTATATAGACTGTATTTGGTATTATTATGGATTTTCATCGATAAGATTCCATCGTAAATATTGATTATTAAGCATAAACTACTTTGGATACTAATTAGAAATGAATCATGATCTTATCCTTGTTCATATTTTTCATTTTCCCGAAGTTTCTTAATAACATTTCCATCATATTAAAACTTTCATATTAATATATTTAAAATTTCAAAATTATTTATACCAATTTAATATGAAAAACCTGATAATGACACAAAATTAAATTTTCCGATTAAAAAGAGAAAACGATTTAATATTTACGTGATAAAGCACTGAATTTATGAACAGTTTCTCTGGTGTTCTTGCCCCGTACACCTGACATACTGAACAGGAGGCAGTGCGGAGGAGGCAAGTAGGAGGCGAGGACGATGAGCGGCAAAGTTCAAATTCAATTACCTTTCAAATATTTGCATTTTGCGACACAAACTTTCATCATAATGCTGCACAATGGCTGCCACTCGAATGCCACTTGAAAGCGGCCAGTGGGTGGTAAGTGTGGGAGTGGGCTTGTGGTGCAGGAACGATAAAGAACAGACCGGCAGGAAGCAGCACTCAAAACAGTTGCCGCTAATGTCGTCCTTCTTCTTTTGGCCCAACGACAACCACCCAACGTCGTCGAGTTCGGAAACGACAATGACGTTAACTTTCGCCGCCTACTGTATCCCACCGACCCCTCGTTACCGTCCCACTTTCGAAACAATTACAAAACAAAGGCCAGGGACTACAGGCCCCTGCAGCACAGCACGGTCGACGTTGAATGTCGAGCGCATAAAAAATACCTAAATAAGCCAATTTCAAAACAGAAATTGCAACAGCAACCATGGCGCTCTCATCCCGAAAAGCTTCATGTGGCTTGAAATATTTTCAATGTTCCCATCCATGGCTGAGGGGCAGAAATCTGTGCATATCCTGTTAAAGCTAATATTTTATTTGTTTGAAAAACTAATATTGGGAAATAGTTATTGAAATAATTTCAATTCAACTTGTTTTTGTCTATTGGCCTTTATACATTTTTGCCCACATAACACCCCTCTCGATATAACCTGAAAAATCTTAACAAATTTCTTGTTTCTCTTTATGGAAACCTCTCCCAGAATTGGCCATTGCTGGAATAAGAAAATTTGTCATTTCTAGAGCAGACATCGAATGCATTATGCATCAGGGCTCTAGTCGCTCACTGACTTCACACGCTAAACCTATTTACATGATGAATTCTTTGCCACGCACCAATTGAGGAACCATAGAGCATAGGTAATGCCCCCTGACTGCCTGTCCGTGGGCTTCCGCGTCTGCACGGCAAAATGAAACTCCCATCTGCATACTTACTATATAATATGTATGCTGCATGTAGTTACATTCATCGTATGAATGCCCTCTGGCTCGATATAAAATGCATAGAATTTTCTTTTTAGTCGATGCGTTTTGACTTAAATTTATATTATGCATGGCGCTTTCTCAACCGAACCAACTAAAATAAAACAACAAATATAGAGTGGCAACATGGAAATCATTTCAAAAAGTTCACAGATTGTGAAATTTTTCTTTCGAGAAAACTAATTACAGTTCAAGGTTTATAGATTTTTATTGATAAAAAGATATTTCCAAATGATTTGGCAAAGCTTTCGTGCTAGAAAATTAGCAAAGTGATGAAAAGATTAAAATTTGTTTCTTCCCCATTATATGTTCTTCATACTTTTAAAATCTTCTTAATTATAATTTTTAAATTTTCATCTCTTTGGGGAATAGATTAAAAGATATGTCTATGAATATTTGGAAATTTATGAGTCATACCAGGGACAAAGCAAAGGCTTAAAGAACAAAAAGAACAAGTTAATGGGGAAATAGAGTATGTGAGGGGGAGGGAGTACTGTGATATGGCTGAATATGGGCACTGGTATACTGCCTGATCCGAGCGCTCTGTCTCGGGCGGCTAAAAGTGCAGCTGCTGTCGCTGCAGGAGTCGGCAAAGGACAATGGGAGCTGTCATCTACAATGAAGATGAGCAGCAGACTGGCTTGAATGAGCTCGGTATGGAATATGTATATATATATATATATAAGTTATGTATGTATGTAGGATGAGGATGAGGATGAGGAGGTGGTGAAGGATTGTCTGGCCGCCTGGTGATATGTGCAGCCTGCATGGCCAGTCGGGCAAACAATAAGGGCTAACATTTATACAAGCCACCCACCCACACACGCACAAACTCGTACATCTACATTTACAATTTCATAGGCGTACATGTGTGAGGGGTCATACACATGCAATCCCGATACCCTGGCCAAGTTTGTTTCTGTCCTCGTCATCGTTGCAGTTTCCTTATCCCAGCATTGTCTTTATGCCGGTTTAATCTGTGTCAAAAGGCGTGAGTTATTACAAGCCAGCCACGCCCACTTAGCTGCAGACTGCATGGCGAGTCGGTGGGGTGGTAAATGGGGCTAAAATCCTGGACACGAGTCAAAGGTTTATCTCTTGTCAACGGCTTTTGTGTCCACGGCCTAATCAACTCACTTTGATCGGCTTTCTCATCGAGGCTAATATTAGCAACCCCGCAATCTGTCTCATTGAAGTCAATTAGCCAATGCGTTATTCAATAACTGGGCTTGTGGTGGTCACTGCCAAACTGAAAACTTCTAGGCAATAATCAAGGTAATTTAAATTCAAATTCGATTGGCCATTGTGACCTGAAAGCCTATTCAAAAGGAAATTAAAATATGATTGCCTGAGCATAAAAGTAACATTAACTCTAATTAGAGTAAAAAAGG